CAGCAACCTCTTCGACCTCAGCCACAGCAACTTCTTCCTAGAAACATCGTCAAAGGCAAGGGAAGCCAGGGCAAAAATGAACTATTGGGATTTCATCAAGATAAAAAGCTTTTGCACAGCAAAAGAAACAGTCCACAAAACCAAAAGACAACTGACAGAATGGGAGAAAATATTTGCAAATGACATATCAGATAAAGGGCTAGTATCCAAAATCTATAAAGAACTTATCAAACTCAACACCCAAAGAACAAATAATCCAATCAAGAAATGGGCAGAAGACATGAACAGACATTTTTCCAAAGAAGACATCCAAATGGCCAACAGACACATGAAAAAGTGCTCAACATCACTCGGCATCAGGGAAATCCAAATCAAAACCTCAATCATATACCACCTCACACCAGTCAGAATGGCTAGAATTAGCAAGTCAGGAAACGCCAATGTTGGCGGGGATGTGAAGAAAGGGGAACCCTCCTACACTGTTGGTGGGAATGCAAGCTGGTGCAACCCCTCTGGAAAACAATATGGAGGTTCCTCAAACAGTTGAAAATAGAGCTACCATCCGATCCAGCAATTGTACTACTCGGTATTTACCCCAAAGATACAAATGTAGGAATCCGAAAGGGTACGTGCACCCCAATGTTTATAGCAGCAATGTCCACAATAGCTAAACTGTGGAAAGAGCCAAGGTGTCCATCGACAGATGAAGGGATAAAGAAGATGTGATATATATACACAATGGAATATTATGCAGCCATCAAAAGGAATGAGATCTTGCCATTTGCAACAACATGGATGGAACTGGAGGATGTTATGCTGAGTGAAATAAGTCAATCAGAGAAAGACATGTATCATATGACCTCACTGATATGAGGAATTCTTAATCTCAGGAAACAAACTGAGGGTTGCTGGAGTGGTGGGGGGTGGGAGGGATGGGGTGGCTGGGTGATAGACATTGGGGAGGGTATGTGCTATGGTGCGCACTGTGAATTATACAAGACTGATGAATCACGGATCTGTACTTCTGAAACAAATAATGCAATATATGTTAAGAAAAAAAAAGAAGAAGAAGATAGCAGGAGGGGAACAATAAAGGGGAGTAAGTCGGAGGGGGAGACGAACCATGAGAGACGATGGACTCTGAAAAACAAACTGAGGGTTCTAGAGGGGAGGGTTTGGGGGGATGGGTTAGCCTGGTGATGGGTATTAAAGAGGGCACATTCTGCGTGGAGCACTGGGTGTTATGCACAAACAATGAATCATGGAACACTACATCAAAAACTAATGATGTAATGTATGGTGATTAACATAACAATAAAAATTATTTAAAAAAATTCCCAGTTCTGTAACTACCCAATCTCAGTCATATCCCAGTCTGGTTCTGTTGTGGGCTCTGTTTCTTCAAACTCTGTTGTGTTTGCCTTTTAACATGCTTTGTAATGTTAGGTGGAAATCTGGACATAATGTACTGAGCAAAAACTAGTGAAGTAAATTTTCCTTTAATGTGAGTTATTTTATGTTCTGGGAGTTATTCCCATGTTCACTGTTTGCTGTGAGCCATAATGTTTGAAGCTATAAATTCCTCTGAGGTGCTTTTTATTTTGCAGGAGGTTTTTGTTGCTTGTCCCTACTGTTTGCTTTGGGTTTTCCATGATAGTTATTCTTCAGTAAAATCTGAGAGTTGACATTCTTTCACTTGAAATCATGTCTTGATAACCAGAGCCACATTAATGCAGTGGAAAAGTAGGGGAAGTGTTGTGTAGTTGTATGATTAGATCTCAAGGGTTTTAGTGAAAGTATGTCTCTGGGACTTGGCCTTTACAAGTGCTTCTCAGACTTTTGTTCCCATTAGCTAAGAGAATAGAAGGAGCTGGAGTTGGGTCCCTTCCTCTACATAGAAACCTGGAGGGGTCTAGATTTGGGGATTTCCTTTCTCCAGGTCGGTTATGCTCTGATCAAACCCAAAGTGGTTGCTCTGCTAACACAATTTCCCTTGAGGGAAGGCTTCTTTAAGGAGAACAGAAGGCTCTGGGTATGTTTCAGATGGTTGCTTCTCTTCTCTTCCAGATGGAAGTTGAACAACTTTTCCTTGACCTTCATTGTGACAATGTTGTAGGGCTACTTGAGGTAAGTCACAGAAGTGTGGAGGCCCCCACCAGAATTACCCCCCTGGAGATTTTCACTTTCCAACCATGCTCATGGAGCCTCCAGAGATTCTTCAGTCATTTGCAGCCCAGATCCTAGCTCCTCCAGACTCTTGTGCTTCTGAGTCTGTGACTCTTCTGTATTCATCTGTCTCTCATTTTTGTGGTGGCAGTTTGCCTTGAGATCTCAGTTCTCTGATGGATTTTTGAGGACTTGTTGATTTTCAGCTTGCTCAGCATTTCTCTTGTTGCAGTGACAGGAGTTATGATGTCTAAGCTCCATACATATCAGACCACAAACTCGAAGACTATTAATCTTTAATAAAAAGTAACCTTAGCTTGCTTCCTCTGCAAATAGCTTCCCTTTCATGCCCTATTGTTGGAAAAAGGAGGAGGTGTAATGAGGGAGTCCCTCTGGATTTTAAAATGGGATGTCAGGAGTTGCTCAGGGATATGTTACATCCTATAATGAAATCCTGCCTTGTTTTTCCCAGCTCAGCAGCTGTAAAGCCAGGCCCATGTTCCTTAGGTAAGATACTTATGTTCATGATCTGCCTGGGATGATAAAGCAAAAAGTTAAAACAAAAATGACTATGTTAGAGAAGATGAAATGTATGGAGTGTGATAGGGATGTCCAGCCTGCTCCAGGTCAGAGAGGTGTTTGAGCAGCAACAGTTCCAACAGGCAGGGATGAATCTCCCTGTGTATACCTCCCCTGGGACCCATGTTATCCTGGGCTGCATCCTTAAACCCAAAACACACTGTCATATGCAGTTGTCAGTCCTTCTAGCCATCAAGGTGTGCTACTCTCTCTACCCTGTTAGCTGGGCCATAGGAAATTTGAAACAGATCCAGTCCCCATGTCACCCCTTATCCAAATCTGTGCTTTTCCACACTTGGTCTACAGAGCATAGGCGTATGAAAATTATGCAGAGGAACAGGTACAAGGTTTTATGGTAAGTTCTGGAGAAGACACAAGGGTTCTGGGTAGAAAATAGGGAGAGGGGAGGAGACAAACAGGCAGAAGGAGTCCTGCCACATCCAAATCTGGAGGAAAATGGGACATGAGCACTTCCATCTTCTTTGGAGGACTGTGACCACGGGGATTGAACAACAGCCTTAAACCACCCAACTTTGGGGAAAATTGCAGGGCAGGGAATGGGGTTGGAATGCTGTATCTGTAGGCACTCAGTTGGCTCCAGGATTACAAAGGTCAGGGCTAGATATTCATTTCCCATCTAAACAGGGCCCACACATGGTCCAGCCTGGGAGGAAGATGGACATAGGCCAGTCTCGATGAAGCTATTCCCTGAGGCCAAGCATTTGCCTCCCAAAGAACCAGATCCAACCCTGAAGGAAAACATGGTCAATGGCTCAGAGGTTTTTACTCTAACAAGCCCAGGATAGGGATGAGGGATCCTCTTGGTGAGGCTGTTTCTCATTATGTCCACCACAGAGGTAGGACTGCTAGGAGTAGAGACCCAGGAAAACACCTCCCCTAAAGGCAGCCAGGCAGGCCACGGTGCTGGGCCCTCAGCTGTAGCTTTGACATGACTATCCCCTGGGCATGTGACTTGAGGGGCAGTTGTGTCTCCAAACACAGTGGTGTTTATGGGGTTGACCTTGGTGTCAGAGGCTGGCTGAGGAGCCATTATACATGGAACATACAAAAGTGTGAATTGACTGTGTTATCCATAAGGCTTCTGGTCAACAAATTTAACAATAGTTAGGTTTTGGGGGAGTCAAAATGTGGATATGTGGATTTTCTTTTTACATCAGGGTCACTGTCCCTAACCCCTGCATTATTCAAGAATCAACTGTATATGCAGAACCGTTTCTCATCATCTCCATCATTTCTAAGCTAATCCAAGCCACCATCATTTCTCATCTGGAGTACTGCAATAACCTCTTAATCTCTCTGCTTCTACTCTCACCCACCTTCAGACTGTTCTCAACAGAGCAGCCAGAGCAAATTTTTAAAATGTTATGTCATCGATTGAAACTTCCATATGTGGTTTTTGTCAGAATGACCAGGGACTATGAGCAAGAAATTCACAGAATTTTTAGAACAAGTTTTTTGGCTTCTTTTGAATCCAATAGTTAATAAATTTTGGATATGTGGGAAGAAAAGAAAAAGGTAAGATCATGTCACTCTTCAGTTCCAAAATTCTCCAATATTATTACTGACACATCCAAAGCCCTTATGGTCTATAAGGTCTGAAATGTGCCTTCCCACCTCCCTCCTGATTCAAGGACTTCACTCCTGATGTTCCCTCTGTTAGGAATACTCTTCCCCCAGATGTATTTATCATTGCATCCCCTGACTTGAAAGTAAGCCTTATGAGGCAGCGAGTTCATTTTCTTCACTACCTCATCTGCAGTGTCTAAAACAGTGACATACTAGGCACCCCATATGTATTTTCATATGCTACCAGTAATTGGGAACTGATCCTGGCTTTGAGGCTGAGAGGCGCGGGATTTGTGGAAGGAAAGATGACTTTTCTGGAGCAGGGAATGTGACTTCAGGGAGCCTCTCAGATGGAGAAAGGCAGCCTGGCCCCCTAGTTGGTTCCTCTTCCCGCCCTAACCACGTCTCCTTCCCAGGCTCTCCCCCTTCTAGAGCCCTCTAGAGTTAATTGGAGGAACTCTCCAAGCCCTTTCATCCTCCCAGTCAATGGTAGGGCAAATACTCTGCGGGAGGCGGGGTCGGAGGTCCCGCGAAGCTGGCGGACTGCTGAAGGGGCGGGAGGATCGAACCTCCAGGGCACAGAGAGGCCAAAACCTCCAGATGCCTAGAAGGGCCGGAGGGTAAGGTTGAGAGTTAGTGGGGAGTCTGTGACGCAGTTCCTTCTCCGCTGTGTTCCAAGATGTGGGCCGGGCGCTCTCGGTGAGGGGTATGTGGCAGCCTGGCGTGGGGGTTCGGTCCGTGTTCTGGGAGAGGGTGGGCAACACCGGCTGGGACCCAGACCTGCTTCAACGCAGCCCGCTGCGGCGACGGGGAGGAGATCTCTCTAGGGGTAATTGAGGGCCTCTTCCTCACCTCGTTTGGTGCTGTCTCTTTGTCTGGGGTCTCGTCTCCCACACAGCGTAGCTGCTTGCTCTGACAGGGCTGATAATGGTTATAGAACTTTGTCATTCCCGCTCCTAGCCAGCAGGCCATCCTGGTAATAGCAGTCCAGATCCCAGCCACGCTCAAAGGACTCCACAACCCCGATTTGAATCGGATCACCAGTCTAATCCCAGCTGTGTTCCCCGTGAGGAACAGAGTTTTGCAGGAGATTACTGATTCATTCATTCGTTCATTCAATACTTATTGAGCATCTACCAAAAAGTGCTATGTCCTGAGGTTACAGTGTGGACAAAGAAGAGGTATTTTCTTGTAGGGAAGAAATGGAACAAGCTTGAAGGGCTAGAAGCCCAGTCTGGGAATCTGGAGGGGTTGAAAACACAAAACGGATTTTGAGGGCAAGTAATCCTAAGAACTAGGTAATCGTTAAAAATAAAGAAACAAGAAAACATTCACCTTTTATCCTCCTTTTAAAGACTTAGGTTTTCCTCTCTAAAGATACTTGACTCAAAAAGTCCCCTTCTCATCTCCCTGCTGCAAACTTTGGCTGGAAAGCAGGATTGCAGTTGGAATGCATTTTGCAGTTAGAGAAGACTATGGAGACTTTTAGGTATCAAACAGAACAGGTGAAAAGGAGCAGCTGTAGTTTAATGGAATGAGGATTACCTTCAGACACAGAAGATTTGTCTCCCACCAGCTATACGACCTTTGGCAAGTCATTCAATCTCTGGGAGCTGCATTTCCTCATCTTCAGAATGGGAATTCATCCTTACTGCTCACAGTTCCTTAGGAAAGGAAGTTGCCCAGGGATGGGACACTGCCCTGAGTGTCTGCTTGGAGTTGAGCTCTCAGAGAATTCAATCATTTCTATCTGTTTACAGCGATACAACACTCCATTAAGAACTTCCTCACCAAACCCAAGGAAGAGATCAGGCAAGATTTGTGCTGGGCACATCCTTTGGAGTGAGGCTGTGCTGGGCAGGTGAGATCTATACCGTGAAATTAGTTATTTGGGGACAGGAATCCTGCTGACTAGAGGAAGGGGACCATGGCTGAAAGGGAGCATTTTCTGGATGGCTATTTATTGAGGAGGAGAGAAGCAGAGAAGAGGGAGTGGGGCCTCTGGACCTTGAGGAGTACATTTTGGGGATGGGAGGAAAGGTAATATAGTTGAACTCAAATTTGGGTGTCAGGAGACTTGGATTTGAGTTGCAGCTTTCTTCTAAGTTTGGGGGTTTCCCCATCACTACATTTTGATAGAAGACACTGGGAGAGCTGGGTGATTCCTTCCAGCTCTGACATTCTGAGAATCTCTGAGTAGTTAGATGGTCAGTATAGAATTGGGGGCCTGTTGGATGGCCCTGTTGAGACAGCATTGCCAAGATTGTAAATATACTGTCATGGTGTTCAGACAATATGAAGTACAAAAAGGATGAACAAGTGGAAGAGGGATGGTGGTGGTCATTGTGTGAAGAATGCAGTTCTTATCATCCCTGCACCCAGATAGAATTAGAATCTTGAACTTGTTTAACATTTCAAATCACAAAACATTTACTGAGCCCTCTTTGTGCTAGGTACTTTGTGGAATTCCACCCATGAATACCATGGGCCTTGCTCTCAGGGACTTAGAGCTTAATGTGTACTTGTGAGGAGGAGTGACACAGACATACACCCAATTAATTCTAGTATAAGGCAACTCTAGTTTATATTACAGATTTGTTATGGTGTTTTTTTGAAGTACAGGAATTTCTGTATGGTCAAATCTATCTGCTTTTGTTATGATGTCAGGCTTTGTTTTATGCTTAAGGCATAGGCCTTTTGCTTCCTGAGACCAAGTAGTCCCCTGATATTTTCTCCCAGTTTTTTTTTCTTTCAATTTTTATATTTCATTCATCTGTCTTCTCTGGAATTTTTCAGGTATTCCCTCTTACTCCTCACTCCGTGACAGCTAATCAGTAACCAAGGACCATGTGACTACTGCTCACAGAAACCTGAACAGGCAGGTGCTGCTGGTGAGTTAAAGGAATACAACCTCCCGAGGTAAAACCTCTTTCTCTTTCTGGGAATAGAACTCTGCCCTTTGTGAGTTTCTCACAGCCTGAAGTGAATGGTGGTCCTAAGATCAGAACACTCACCCATCAGTCTCAGGGATTTGTAGGTCAGAGATTTGGGGGGCTTCGTTTGTTCTCATCCATTTGGCAGTTGTCTCTGAGATTATGCTTTTATTCACAGTTGCTTGGATCTCTTTTAGTGTCCTACTGGCCCTGTCCCTCCTTTTGCTTCTCCAGCCAGGAGTTCACCTTTCTCCTAGTGCCTGGGAATTTTTTCAGGTTTTCTGAGGGAATTTCCCATCCAGTCAGGCAGAGGACAAATCGTCAGGTTTCTTTTTGACCAACGTCTCCTCAGACTGGCCCTCCCTGATTTTCTGATAAGTCTTGCTTCCTTCTCAGGTGCCCCAGAACCACCTTGGGCTTCCTTATGGCACATCCTTGTGCATTTCTCTTTCTCCGTTCCTGCTCTTCTAACCAAAATCTCTATCTCAGTGAGCTTCCTTTGTCCCCTCCATCTTATTCTCAAATTTGCATTCCTGACATATTCTTCCTCTTCTCATCTAAAGTATTTTCCTACATCTTAATCTTTCTTAGGGACATTACCATTGTTGATATTCAGACCTGGATCTGATAACCTTGAATTCTTTCTTTTAGTCATCCTCTGTGTCCAATCTGATACAAGTGTATGCTTTTCTGGAAATTGCTGCATTTCATTGTTCTCTTTCCTATCATCCCGGATTAGGGTCTCACTATCTCATTCATTTGTTCAGTCATTCACAAACATTTATCGGATACTTAGAAAGTGGCAGACCCTCTAATGGTCACCCATACTGCATTCCTAAAGTTGTCTCCCAACTCATTTCTCTTCCTCCGTTTTTTTTTTCACCTCTAATCCATCTGGGCTAATCTTCCTAAATCATTTCTTTTAAAAAAAACATGTTTAATTGAAGTATAATTGATATACAATATTATACCCTAAAGCGTTCTTTTCCTAATACCACTTTTAGGCAGGATGATATGAAATATATTGCCCAGACTGGAATATTTTTGTGAGTTAAGGGAGCCACTATTAATAATGATGCTAGAAACTGTATTCTTGACAAGTGAGAGTGAGAGAGGAGAACGAGGTAGAAAAAAAAATGTAGAGTGGGGAAAGAAAATGAGGGTGGCTTGTTACCCATTGACCATTAAATTATATTGATATGTGCCCCATAATTTCAGTGTTCTGGCTCATATCATTTCAGGCAACTTAATTCTTACATTTGTTCATTCAAAAAAAATTTTTTGGTGCTTACTGTATGCTTGGAACTGTGCTAGATGCTGGGAAGACAAAGGTAAACAAAATGAATAAAAGCCCCACCATCATGAAGCTACGTGATAGTGTAATCGCCCACTTATTTCTGAGTACACTGGCCCTGTGCAACCTTCATTTTTTTTTGCCTCCCCCTCCCCCATAAGCTTCTTTTTGAGGAAACAATTCCTTCATGTTCTGGGGCTCAGCCAAAGGTTTTCCTTCTTAAAGCACCTCTCCCCGAGCATTCCTCGCCCCAGTAATTGTTCCCTTCCCTAGCACCCTTCACCTCCTGATTGGGTACTTTGTAAATCTTAATTTGGTCTCCTCATTTTTCACCATTTACTCCACTGTAAGCTCCTGAAAGGTAGATGTGATATTTCATGCTTCTATTAGTGTGCTCAGGCTGCCATAACAAAATCCCAGACTGGGCAGCGTAAACAACAGATACTCCTTTTCTCACAGTTCTGGAGCCTGGAAGTCCAAGATCAAGGTGATCACCTGATTCAGTTTCTGGTGAGGACTGTCTTCCTGGCTAATAGATGGCCACCTTCTTGTTGTGTGCTCATATGGCTATCCTTAGTTTGTTGGGGGGTGGGGAGGCAGGAGTGGAAGCAAAAGTGAGCTCTCTTCTGTCTTATAAGGACACACTAATCCTATCAGATCAAGCCCTTATGATCTCATTTAACCTTAATTACCTCCTTAAAGGTCACATCTTCAAATACAGTCACATTGGGGGTTAGAACTTCAACATATGAATTTGGGGGGGGACACATTCAGTATGTAACAATGCTTTATTTTATTATGTCCAATAATGGTATTTATTGCTTTGTGACGGAGCCATGTAAATACCTGGCTATTAACAGTTTCCACAGACACCTCTTTCTTGAAAGCCACAATACTGATCTTTACCGTAGCAGCTTTTAACAATAGAATAGTTACTACAGTAGCTAGCTAAGACGATTTAGATCAGTTATGCCTAGAAATGAGACATGCTGGGGTTGGCTTCAAGGCATTGTCTCATTCTGAATCTCTAAAATGTTTTGTTCTAGTAATTATGGGGATCCTCTAAAGTAATTTCCCAACTTTTCATAAGAAATACTATAAAAAGAATTAAAAAATAATACAAGTTAGCAGAAGACAATTTGCTAGCAAAATGAGAGGCCTCTATCATATTAATTATATAAACTTACCCAGCTGTTCATCCATCCATTCATTCATACCACAAATAGTTATTTTCTACTTTTCTCTAATAATGCTTTTTAAAATTTTCCCTGTTAGATCCAAAACAGAATGTATGGAGTAGAACACTCAATAATTACTACTTTAAGACATGTATGAAGAAAAGAGTTTCAGAGAAGATTACACATGGAAAAGAAACTCAGAACCATCAACTTTCTCAGAGAACTCTGGAAATGGCTTCATTTACTGTTCTACTCTGCTCTGCAGGCACCTGGCTTCTCACTGAGTTTCTTCCTCTTTGATTAGGAGAGGTAGCAACAGCCGGATGTGAGTGTGCTTCAGGATCCTGGCAAGAATCCACCCCCCTGCCACCATTTTCTCTGCCTCCCCTTTTTATCTTGAGCACAGATTTGTATATATTTGTCCCTGTATGGCATCAGTGGCACCTGTATTCCTGAAATATGAACTCTAACCTCAGTTGGAAGCTCTCTTCCTTTCTTGCTGGTCTTGAGCACTCACCATTGGACATGTTCCTCCTTCAGAGTGTGACTCAGCTTATGAAAAGCTTTGAGACAGTGGAAACTGGTCAGACTTTTTTGAAAAGCAATAGGCAGTACTGCAAAAAAATTTCATTCCCTCTGACCCAGTAACTCCTTTGTGGAACTTTTATCCTAGGGATATATTTCATTAGGAAGAAAACTTTGCATAAAGTGATCATGATAGCATTATTGAAGTGGTTAAACTGCAGGGAGCAACAAAAACATCTAACACTAGCAAAATTGTAGGTAAATCATAATGAATTCAATTGGTAGTGTATTATATAATCATAAAATGATCTTATGATGATGAAATAGCAATGTGGAAAATTACATATGGTAGGATGCAAAATTATATCTACCGTATATTTGTAACCGTATATACTATAAATATGGACAAGTTTGAAGAGGAACATAGTAAAAAAACATTAATTATGTGTTAATATCATGGAGTCATCTTTCTGTTTTCTTTTATGATCGCAATCCCTTTCTGTATATCCCAAGTTTCATGTCAAACCCGTTGGGAAGTTCCTGCTCATTCCTGACATCAGTGTCATGTATTGGCCCGTTTTGGTTGTGCTGTCTCCTACTTTCACCCTTTTGCCAATGTTAGATACTTTACTATTCTACCATGCAAGGTCTTATCAGAGCATGGCCTTACCCTGCCATGCTTTAGCTAGCCCTGTTCCCCAGCTCAGCCTCTCAGGTTTGCACAGTAGATTGGGTGATAGCTTGTCAGAGTGATAGCTTGGTGGGAAGCAGACAGACTGTTCTTCCAGTACCAGAGCCTACTGGAGCCTAGTCACACCATAGCCTATTCTGTAGGGACTGCTCTGTAGCTGGATCCAGCTGCATGTGCTCAGTCTGTCTGAATAGGTCAGCAAGAACTAAAAGCCAAACTGTTTTGAAGAGCTACTGAACTAAGGATCTTTCATTTCATTTTTTCTAGGGACCAGATGAGGAGTTTGATGGCTCCAATTCTGGGAGTAGAGTGTGAGACAGGAGGAAACCTGGGTGGATTTTATATTACTCATTGCTTATCCTGATGCTGGACCTGTTGGGTTCCCCTCCTATCTTTCCATAAGCCTTTACCTTGGCCTCTGGGTCTACCGTCATTTTTCTCATCTCATTTTTGATCAGTTCCCTCTGTCTTTGAACACTTCCTCTTCCATGTGAGACCTTGTGGTGTACCACATCTTGTTATCTTTGGATAGAGAATAGGTGACATGTGCAATTTCTGTTTCTTCTGTCAGATGGTGGAACTGGGACTGAGGAGGTGTTGATTCCAAAGTATCATTCCTGAAAAATCAGGATCTCACACTTTCAAGAGAACTCCACAGAGGTGATGCCAGGGAAGTCAAAATTTAGAAAGCTCCTCTGAAGAGAAAGAGAAGATTCAACAGGCCACTGTGATGCTTCAAGCAAGGCAATATGAGAAAGACAAGAAGCTTCAGGCATAAGACAGTTAAAGACAATAAAACACTTACAGAAGTGAGTGAGCAAGACTCTGAAAAAGATGGTAGTCAGTGCTTGGATCCTGCAACAAACATGAGAGTTCAGGCTGAAAAGAAACAGTATGTATGTACTGAGTGTGGGAAAGCCTTTAGTCAGAGTGCAAATCTTACAGTACATGAAAGAATACACACAGGAGAGAAACCCTATAAGTGTAAGGAGTGTGGAAAAGCCTTCAGTCATAGCTCCAACCTTGTTGTTCATCGAAGAATCCACACTGGACTGAAGCCCTACACATGCAGTGAATGTGGGAAATCTTTCAGTGGTAAGTCACACCTCATTCGGCACCAGGGAATCCATAGTGGGGAGAAAACTTATGAATGTAAGGAGTGTGGGAAAGCCTTTAGTCGGAGTTCAGGTCTTATTTCACATCATAGAGTTCACACTGGGGAAAAGCCCTACACTTGTATCGAGTGTGGGAAAGCCTTTAGCCGTAGTTCAAACCTTACTCAACATCAAAGAATGCACAAAGGAAAAAAAGTTTACAAATGTAAGGAGTGTGGGAAAACATGTGTTTCTAATACAAAGATTATGGACCATCAGAGAATTCACACAGGGGAGAAGCCTTACGAGTGTGATGAGTGTGGAAAAGCTTTCATTTTAAGGAAGACCCTTAGTGAACATCAGAGACTTCACCGTAGAGAGAAACCTTACAAATGTAATGAATGTGGGAAAGCTTTTACTTCTAACCGAAACCTTGTTGATCATCAGAGAGTTCACACTGGAGAGAAACCCTATAAATGTAACGAATGTGGAAAAACCTTCAGGCAGACTTCTCAAGTTATTCTACATTTGAGAACCCACACTAAGGAGAAACCCTATAAATGTAGTGAGTGTGGGAAAGCCTATCGTTATAGCTCACAACTTCTTCAACACCAGAGAAAACATAATGAGGAGAAAGAAACATCATAAATAACATATATTGTCGTTTGTAGGCCTAATTGCTACTTTCTGGAAAAACAATTTTTCATTGTTCTCAACCTTAATTCAATTTCTAAGACTCCATACAGGGAAAGTAACCAGAAGCAGGCAAAGATTAACAGAGGGATATTCATGCTAGCATCATATATAACTGAAGGAAGAGAACTAGATTTTCAGTAGTATAGGGTTTAAATGAATGATAGTCTATCTACATGATGGTTTTGCAGCCATTATAAACATTCTTAAAGAATATTTAATGTCATGGGGAAAATTATTTGTATGAAATGGAAGATAAAAAACAAATTTGATCCAAATTTTTAAACATTTACCTATAGGAGAAAAATGGGAATGAAATAATACCAAACCAAAACGTTGACAGTGATTATCATTGGGTGATAGGATTATAGATGATTTCTATTTTCTTTATACTTTTCTATGCTTCTTAGATTTTCTACAAGAATGTAGTACTTTTATATTCAGGAAAGAAATACAGTATTTTTTAAATGCAGTGAGTATGTGCTCATTTTCACTCAGCAGTGTTATGCAAGTCATGTAGAACATGGACCCTAAACTCATGGGATTCCACCCTAATACTGGCAGTTGGTAGCAGTGGGAGCATGAGCAAGTCATTTCCTTTTAGAGCCTGTTTCCTGTTTATTAAATAATAAACACCAGTCATTGGTCTTTTGCAGTTTTAAAATAAGCTGACTTTTTTTTAACTCTTAGGTTAAAAGAAAAACAAATTTATTGCATTCTTCTTTCCCACAGTTGTAGAAGGCAGGTAATAGAGACTTCATCTTTTCAATATATATCTATAAAACCAGAAATAATAACCCCTTATGAAACTGAAACAATTGCAGCTGCATAACCTGTAAAGATGTCAGCATAATCTAAAATGAGGGGAAGACTCTGCCTTCTCATGTACAGTTTAGTAGCTTAAAGTGCGAACTTTGGGATCAGAGATACGTCTTCTGATCCCAGATCTGCCACACATTAGCTTGTCAGTTTTGGACAAGTCACTTAACTGTGCTGAGCCTTAGACTTATCTGTAAAAAGGGAATAATGACCTACCTAACAGGGTTGTGAGGATTTAATGAGATAATGCATGGATTGTGTGACAAAGCTGGCCCATAGTAAATGAAAATAGCTCAAGTATGGGACATTGGAGCAGTGTTTCTAAACTCGCAGAGTGATTCAGGAAAAGTTTTACCTAAGGTAGCATTTAGGACATTTTCAGGTGTAATGAACACAATATCAAATGCTAGTAGCTAAAACCTTAAGAACATTGATTGCTTACTTATGGGGAAGTCTAGAGGTACACACTTCCAGATTTGGTTTGGCAACTGAGCAATTCATCAAACTTAAGTCTTAACTCCATAATTTTCAGCATATAGGCTTTCATTTTTTGCAGCCTCCCAGTTGTCAGATGTTGGCCATAACTGGAAGCTCTTAACTGCAAGCTCTTCTCTTCACACAACTCTTTCAGAATCAGGAAGTGAGGAAAGGAGCTGAGGCTTTCTGATCTGTTTGCTTTCTCCCTTTTTGAGGAAGCCTTTCTCTGGAGAAGGGAGGGATGCTGTGCAGTCAGGACTGCAGGTGCTCACTTGCTTCCTCTGCCTTTCTTTCTGCCTTTCTTTATGTCCAGCCCTTTGGGAAGGCTTTAACCCATTTCAACCAGTGTTTTAAACTTCTAAGTCCTTAGCTCACAATATATCTGGGTACACTTAGAATCTGCCCATTCTTTTTTTTTTTAAGATTTTATTTTTATTTATTTGACAGAGAGAGAGCCAGAGAGGGAACACAAGCAAGGGGAGTGGGAGAGGGAGAAGCAGGCTTCCTGCAGAGCAGGGAGCCCGATACAGGGCTCGATCCCAGAACCCTGGGATCATGACCAGAGTCGAAGGCAGATGTCCAACGACTGAGCCACCTAGGCGCCCCAGAATCTGCCCATTCTTAAACGCAGTCACTTCTCTTTTCCTAAGCCTAATGCCATTTGTCTTATGCATGTAGTGATTATTGTTATGCCATTCAATTCTTACAACATTTGTACAATAAAATTGAGTCTCAGTGAGATTAGGTGACTGACTAGTTAGTGATTGGAGCCAGGATTTGAACTCAGATCCAAGTTTTAAATCCATGCTTTCTTCTTTATACCAAAGTGCCTCTGCCCATCATGGCAGTTCTATATGTGAGTGGGAGTCCAGTTGGGACTTTCTTGAGTAGACACCTCTATGAAAAGCAATTGTATCTGGATAATTATTTGATCATGGTTTCATAAGGAAGATACTATATCTTCTCTGAGTTGTATTTACAGCTTATCTCTGTATCTTGTAATTTAGTTTTAAGGATTATATATTTCTTCCTTGCTGTTACTAGAGACAAAGAAGCAGAAGGTTATGAAGGGTATAGTTGTGTGAAAAGGGATTGTTTGCTTTTGTCCTATTTCGACAGGATAGTGGCTTACATTCAATTTTGGGATGTAATAGTCCCTCTTTGTATGGTTATTCAAAAACCTTTGCAAGGTTTGGAGGTTAGTCCCTCTTTGTATAGTTATTCAAAACAAGGTTTGCTGCATTCAGGGATAGGACTATTGGGTAGGCACTTCCCCAAGAGTCTGGGTGGATACAAGGGTAGGGTAATCCACCTGTGGCAGTGGGTTACACTACTGCAGTAAGGGTCCTTCCATCATTTTTCCCTTGTCGCGTGTCATTTTGAAATTAAGGGAGGTGTTTGTAATTAGTATCCCATGCCTTTTGTCATGCCAGCCATCCTCACCTGCTGATTACCTATGTGGAGACTCCCCATGACTAGTGTCTACTGGTGGCCAAAACTAAGAAAATAGGCAGTTGCTTCTTGTATGCCTGTCAGAGGTTATTTTTTGAACATTTATTATTACCAAGCAGATTTGTTGATACTTCATAATACTAAGCAGATACTAAGCAGGTATTCTCTGACATTTTCCTATCACTGTCTCATAGTGTCTGAGATTTCTTTCAAATAGGCTTTCTTTTTCATCTTAAAAGATTTTTGTGATCTTCAAGAGTAAATACCTTCTGGAAGGATACTGTGTCTTCTCAAACCCAGCAATCTGAATATAGATCTTCACATATCTTGCCCCAGGCAAGGTAAGATAATAGACCTTCACCCATTTTCTAGGCTGATACTTGTCTTGAGCTGCAAGAGTAAATGCTGGTAAGTGGTCCCCATGTCCTTTCAGATAAATATTCTGCAATATAATTTAAACTGATTATCCACCTTCCTCCAGGGACTTTTTCAACACTACCAGCTGTTAACCTCAGTCAGAGTTTAATTATGCAGTTCTTACCATACTTTCATCAAACTTAAGTCTTAACTCCATAATTTTCAGCATATTGGCTTTTCAAGATGCTCTCTGGATTCAGGGTCTCCTTATGTTTTTTCCAGCTTCCTGTGCTAATGGTAACCTGGTTGTTCCTTAATAGCAGTGCTTCCTCTGCAACCCCTCAATTGTTAGTCTCCCTCTACCCATTTACCTCTCTTTATTGCCATCTTTTCTATATTCTCCATCAAAAACCCAGTTCTTTTGAAATATATATCACTAGACTACTCTGTATTACCCATCCCTGTTTTTGTTATCTACTGGCTTCCTGTGTACTCACACTTACTCATTTATGTTTTTAGTACCCTGAATATTCTGGAGGACTATGAAGAGGCGATATTTTTAGCCATAGACATCCTGGTTATGTAGAATTGCTCTTGTGTGGAATAGAAATATATATGTCTCCTTTTAGTTGAGATAGTGTGAAATAAAATCTCATTTTATATAGCCTTGATTAAAGGGAAATATGAAAGACAATGAATTCTGCATAGAGAGAAGAGTGTCTCCCTAGGTTTAGAGATATTTTTTATTGATGGTGTGTACTGTATTAATTCTTACTTGGAACTGAGAAGAAAATCAAAACCAAAAAGGACTTTAAATAGCTGAATAATTCTGTTGCATTTAAATCCCATAAGACTAAATTTCATTTTAGTTCTGTATCCTCAGTAACAGACTTCTTTTTTTTTATTTTTCCATTAAATATAAATAATTCCATTTAATATAAATAAATAAAATAGTATGCTTGTATTGTTAGATTGTTTTCAGAAACTAGACTGTTTTTAATCACTTCTGATGTCATAAAACTTTTTGCAGGACATAGTTATAATTCCTCCAATAAATCTGTTATTATTGTTATAAATATCACTGAATTTTTTTTCTTGTTGCTTCCTTTGTTCAGAATGGGAAGAAAACAGTTCAGTTTGCTTTTCTTTAGGCAGCTCTTTTTGAAATGAAGTGATATGGCTTATTTCTGATTTAAACGCAACATGAAACTTGTTATTTTCATACTTCTACTACATAAATGAGAGCTCTCTAGCCAATAGAAAATGTCCTGTAATTTCCTTAGAGGACTTGTACAGCCGGTTATTGTCCCAGCTCTTTCTCTGGACCCATTTTTGTTTCAAATCTTTACTATTATATAGACCTCAGATGGCTATATAAAACCAGCCATGTTCCCTGACTTGTTTCTGCTCCAGAAAGTAGGTTTATGAGTGGTGTAAAGAAGATGGCGGACTCCTTTCTGGGCAACATAGATAAGGACCTGACTAGTTCCCACTCTTCCCACTGACCATTTAAATGCACATGGCACAATTTGACCACAGGGATTATAGACATGCAAAAGCTATAACCAGTCTCTGAAACTAAGACCAGTGGACTCCAAATTTGGGAACCACAAGAGGTAACAGCACACATACAGATCAATTTCTGAGGCCCACCAAATCTGGACCAGGGTCCAGGGATCTATATAAAACAATACTTTTGCAGTGGGAATTGAAGAAAATTTTTCATTAGGATCCCAGACTGTACATGACTACTGTGATGATTGTCCATTTTTTCCCTCAGAAGAACCTATAAATTACAAAATTATTGAGACATACACTAAAGTTTGTATAATCATGACAAATTAGCAACCAGTTTACAGAGTATGAAATAAAATGCTGTCACATTTGCAGTGTTTGTTTTACCACAGAATTGAGCAGATATTCATATCTTTAAAAAAGGTATAATAGAACAGTACAGCAAACTAGATAATTGTAAAGCCCTTTGGCTACAAAACAACCTAGAAATTCTGGGTAAAATTTAAACATCCTTTTTAAAGGACTTGAGAAGATGAAATAAATGCACAGAGCCTAAAATGAAGAGGAGGTGGAAGCCAGCAAGGTAAGTGGGTGGTGATACCTTGGGTGCTGTGAGGCAGTTTGGTGATATTGGTCACCAAGGGACATAGATTTTATCTGCTGCAAGGGCAGGATTTGAATCTGTGGGCTTGTAAGAGGTGGAGAATTGGAAGTGAGATTTCCACAAGAAGCCCAGATGTTAAAGGACTATACCCTCAGTGAAAGCATGCATTAGAAAAAAGTCAACCAGGAGCAGAGGAGTACATCAAGGAAGGTTGTGAGATTTGTCATGGGCTCTCAGTGGCAAATAAAAGTCTCACTAATAATTATAGTCATGAGTCAATCTTAATGCTGTTACCTCTTGTGGTTCCCAAATCTGGAGTCCACTGGTCTTAGTTTCAGAGACTGGTTATAGCTTTTGCATGTCTATAATCCCTGTGGTCGAATTGTGCCATGTGCATTTAAATGGTCAGTGGGAAGAGTGGGAACTAGTCAGGTCCTT